ACTATCAATTTCGTTTTAATTAAGTCTTTCCATCAATTTCTACCGTTAAATCAACTAGAGACTAACCTGATATGATCCATTTCATGGTTAATCTAATGGTGAAAACGAATGAAATGACTTAATTTATAGAAAATTGATAGTTAAGGGACCAAGAGACAATTGAAAATTTAAGAAATAAATTAAAACAGGAAGTTAAATTCAAGGACTAATTATAATTGGGTTAATTGTAAATTGCACTTTAAAAGGTCGTTCAAATTTTAATTTACATCCTTAAAGATCAAAAATATCAATTTACACTCTTAAAAATAGAAATTTGTGTCAATGCGTACCTAAAACTAACAGTCGTCAGTTTACCGTTTAAAACTTAATGGATAAATTACATTTAGATTCTCCCATGCTTGTCACCTTGAATTTAACTTCCCCATTAGGTATTTATATAAAGTTCTTTTTTATATTGAATAACAAAAATATACATTAGTAAAAATACTTAATAATTTAAAAATAAAGTAAAAATATATTAGGACATACTATTGTTTAAAGAAAGCTCGGCGATTTTGAAAAAAAGTTTAAAGAACTTGTGGGATATAATACAGGGCGAGAGCCAGATGAGAAGATGTGAGGACAACACATATTTATATGTATGTCTACAAATAAAACTATGATAAATTTATTATTTGCCCCCCTTAAGTTCTTGAAAATTTATACATAGATTTAATGATCCACTCGCCACTTGAATATATATATATATATATATACCGATAATAATTAGCCAATAATACCTTTGTTGTTTAATACTTTGTTCAAATTATTGTATTGTTATCTAATAATTCTTTTTTTGGTAAGTTAGTGAGTCGTAACTTAGTAACATGAAAAAGTACAAATGACAAATATTTACTAACTCAAAGGTATTTGTCATTCGAAAAAATTAATTTATCAATAGGATCAAAAGTAGATTGTTAAGAAAGAAATTTATCCCAAAAAATGATAAATTTTAAACGATTTTTGAGATTTGTAACGTCCTCGTCATGCTGAAATTTACTCTTAAAGATTTATTATTTTTATTTGCTCATATTTTAGTAATGCTGAATTGATATTGTTTTAAAAATGCTTCAACTAAATAATTTTTTTTATATGATCATAACACCTAATTAAGTACACATTAATGGAGGCTAGAGAATATCCTTGTACACAAATTGGTTAATTTTGTCATTCATATTTTGATTACCTCTAAGACGGAATCTTGGCTTCGCCCTGATTATTTTTTATACTTTTTAAAGTTTTAGAATTTTAATTTTTTATTATTAAATTAATATTTCTTCTAATCACCTTTCAACTTCCTACGACAACTTTTCAACGCTCACCGATTTATCTACCATTCACTTTGAATTTATTTTTTCACAAAATGCAATTTTTATCCCCCTGAATTTTTTTTATAATTTTTAAACTTTCCCATTAATTAATAAGAATGGGAGAAACATGAAGGGTGGGGAAGAAAAAATCATATAAGAATTGCGAGTCTCATACATTACACAGTGACGATGCTAGTGTACCATTAAATATATCTATACCATTAGTAAAATAACAAAGAGAATTAATACCCACTCTTAAAATATCGATAATACCATTTATTTATATATATATTTTTTTAAATTCACACAATTACTTCCACTTGTAAAACAATAGCAATAACCCCATGTCTAAGGCACTCAATAATATCAAAAACAAAATATTAATCGTGTAATATTTATATTTAAATAATAATTCATTTCTTTTTATTTTTTTTAAGCTACGCAATTTAAAATAAACATATAAAAAATAGGTGAGAAAAATGAGTTAAAAAGTATAATGATTGAGTTTTACGACATTAGGAGAATATAGAGAAATGATATTTTGAACCAAAAAATAATTAAGATAAATTTTATACCATAGAATCAATGTTAGTCATCGTCGTCGTCGTCGCCGTCGTGTTTTTATGAGTCGAATATTTAATTTGTTAATTGTAATATTAAGTAAATTANTCCTCCTAATCACCAAGCCAATATAGTAAATATCTTCTTTTATGGAAGATATTTTATCCAAAGGGTTTTTTATATTTATATTTTTTCTTTTTCCTGTTCAATTACTTGAATGGCCAAAAAAAACCCATTTATTTTATTGAATCGACCCGAATCCTTAAAAACATTTGTTATTTGTTTTCATAATGTTGAGAATTTGTCTTTCAATGAAGCAACTACATTTCCCCAAGCAATAGCCGCTTACTTCCTCATTAGGATTCATAGAAATCTCCCATGATCATTTCCTGCTTCCATTCCCCAAGGGACAANCTTCTATAATATTGTCAAAATCTTTGTTTTACTAGAAAACAATCGCAATCTTTATTGAAGTCATTTGTTTTCATAATGTAGAGAATTTGTCTTTCAATGAAGCAACTACATTTCCCCAAGCAATAGCCGCTTACTTCCTCGTTAGGATTCATAGAAATCTCCCATGATCATTTCCTGCTTCCATTCCCCAAGGGACAAATTTTCCTGGAGAATTCTACAGTATCGATTTTTTTTTTTCAGTAATGCATTGTTATGTATAACTTTTTAGGGGGTTTGTACAATTTTAGGAGATCATTTGCCTCTTTTGGGATTTTTGTAATTGACATTAAATTGATAGAATGAATTCCAAACACCGTAAAAAGTTATAATTTCACCCTTTAAAAGTTGTAAGTTGAACCTCAAAAATTGTAACTTGACTTAATTTTGTTTATATCGTATCCACAAAACTTATAAACTTAGATATGTTTGGGTTGACCGAAATCAAAAATTTAAATAATTGAATTGTTAAGTTTGTATAAAAGTAGGGCTGATAATCCTGAATTTTACTTTCAATTTTAATTTGATTCCTAAATTTTTAATTTTCTCAATTTAATCCATCAACTATCAATTTCGTTTTAATTAAGTCTTTCCATCAATTTCTACCGTTAAATCAACTAGAGACTAACCTGATATGATCCATTTCATGGTTAATCTAATGGTGAAAACGAATGAAATGACTTAATTTATAGAAAATTGATAGTTAAGGGACCAAGAGACAATTGAAAATTTAAGAAATAAATTAAAACAGGAAGTTAAATTCAAGGACTAATTATAATTGGGTTAATTGTAAATTGCACTTTAAAAGGTCGTTCAAATTTTAATTTACATCCTTAAAGATCAAAAATATCAATTTACACTCTTAAAAATAGAAATTTGTGTCAATGCGTACCTAAAACTAACAGTCGTCAGTTTACCGTTTAAAACTTAATGGATAAATTACATTTAGATTCTCCCATGCTTGTCACCTTGAATTTAACTTCCCCATTAGGTATTTATATAAAGTTCTTTTTTATATTGAATAACAAAAATATACATTAGTAAAAATACTTAATAATTTAAAAATAAAGTAAAAATATATTAGGACATACTATTGTTTAAAGAAAGCTCGGCGATTTTGAAAAAAAGTTTAAAGAACTTGTGGGATATAATACAGGGCGAGAGCCAGATGAGAAGATGTGAGGACAACACATATTTATATGTATGTCTACAAATAAAACTATGATAAATTTATTATTTGCCCCCCTTAAGTTCTTGAAAATTTATACATAGATTTAATGATCCACTCGCCACTTGAATATATATATATATATATATACCGATAATAATTAGCCAATAATACCTTTGTTGTTTAATACTTTGTTCAAATTATTGTATTGTTATCTAATAATTCTTTTTTTGGTAAGTTAGTGAGTCGTAACTTAGTAACATGAAAAAGTACAAATGACAAATATTTACTAACTCAAAGGTATTTGTCATTCGAAAAAATTAATTTATCAATAGGATCAAAAGTAGATTGTTAAGAAAGAAATTTATCCCAAAAAATGATAAATTTTAAACGATTTTTGAGATTTGTAACGTCCTCGTCATGCTGAAATTTACTCTTAAAGATTTATTATTTTTATTTGCTCATATTTTAGTAATGCTGAATTGATATTGTTTTAAAAATGCTTCAACTAAATAATTTTTTTTATATGATCATAACACCTAATTAAGTACACATTAATGGAGGCTAGAGAATATCCTTGTACACAAATTGGTTAATTTTGTCATTCATATTTTGATTACCTCTAAGACGGAATCTTGGCTTCGCCCTGATTATTTTTTATACTTTTTAAAGTTTTAGAATTTTAATTTTTTATTATTAAATTAATATTTCTTCTAATCACCTTTCAACTTCCTACGACAACTTTTCAACGCTCACCGATTTATCTACCATTCACTTTGAATTTATTTTTTCACAAAATGCAATTTTTATCCCCCTGAATTTTTTTTATAATTTTTAAACTTTCCCATTAATTAATAAGAATGGGAGAAACATGAAGGGTGGGGAAGAAAAAATCATATAAGAATTGCGAGTCTCATACATTACACAGTGACGATGCTAGTGTACCATTAAATATATCTATACCATTAGTAAAATAACAAAGAGAATTAATACCCACTCTTAAAATATCGATAATACCATTTATTTATATATATATTTTTTTAAATTCACACAATTACTTCCACTTGTAAAACAATAGCAATAACCCCATGTCTAAGGCACTCAATAATATCAAAAACAAAATATTAATCGTGTAATATTTATATTTAAATAATAATTCATTTCTTTTTATTTTTTTTAAGCTACGCAATTTAAAATAAACATATAAAAAATAGGTGAGAAAAATGAGTTAAAAAGTATAATGATTGAGTTTTACGACATTAGGAGAATATAGAGAAATGATATTTTGAACCAAAAAATAATTAAGATAAATTTTATACCATAGAATCAATGTTAGTCATCGTCGTCGTCGTCGCCGTCGTGTTTTTATGAGTCGAATATTTAATTTGTTAATTGTAATATTAAGTAAATTAATATTATTTTTATTTTTGCAAATAATTACCTACCTCCATTTTGAACTTTATGGTTGTGGAGAGGAAATGAGAGTCCTAATTTTGGCGCACAAACAGACAACGAACACCGAGAGAACATAGTTTTGGGGTCAGTTTTTCTTTCATCAATTGTCAGGTAGCTACTTCCCAGGTCCCTTCTTCTGTCCCCTCCTCCTCTCCCTATATTGGAATCTCAGATTTTGGGGGACGAGAGAGAGAGAGAGAGAGAGGAAGTGAATCTGTGAATCTTGGAGAGAGAAAGATCTGACAAATGCGGACCGCACCGTTAGGAGGAATTTCAGTGAACAGTCTCTGTGTCTCCCTCAATTCCAAGAACTTGCCTTTCTTTCCTTCTAGGGTTTCTCATGAATCCTCTTTCTCTCATCTCTCCAAATCAGGTACCCTTCACCCTTTCTCTCTTTATACGTAATCGTGTATGTATAGTTTTTTCTGTTCTATTTGCTAGAAGAAGATTTGCTGCGACTGTATCCCCAAGTCAAAATTCTTTTTTTTACATCACATATTAGGAGGGATAGATATTGGGTTGTGTTTGAAAAAATCTGGTGTTGGGTACTAGGTGGACTTTAGGAGTTCAATTTGGTGAAAAGTTTCTGGACAGGATGAAATTTTGCTGTGATTTCATGCACTTTCTTCTATAATTGTTGATTTCCTAATGTTCTAATTAATGGCAAATTGGAGTGGCATCTATGTTGACAAACTTTTGATGAACTTTGATTTTTCAATCTCTTGGCCAAGTTTTGCAATTTCAACCAAATCGCTTGGTTTTCTTTACCAACATTTTGGCTAACTACTTTCCGGAAAAAAAATAAGGAAAAAAGTTTTTGGCTAACTAAAAACTGTCAATGACCCATTTTCCTGAATGTTTAATTGAAGTTTTCCCAAATTTCATCTGAGTTTCTGAACTTACAGCATAAACTTTTTTTCTCGCCAATTGTTTAGATCTGAATGTGGTGTAATTAGATACAGTAGTTGCTAAATTTAGAAGCCTTGGATGTTGGAGCTTGGAATTTGATGATCTTATGGTTGATTAGACCTGTGGAGTTTTTGAGCTTGATTTAGTATTGCTTGTTCTCAATCACATAATTTGGGTTCCTTGGGGATATGAAAGATGTAATTAAATGATTTGTTTCTGCTCTAGGGCTTTGTAGAGCCAGTCAAGTGGTTGAATTATTCTCAACTGTGTCGCCTGGGATTGTTGTTCGGGAGGCCAGGTTAGAGGACAGTTGGGAAGTAGCCGAGACTCACTGTAGCTCCTTCTTCCCCGAGTACTCATTCCCTTTAGATTTTGTGTTAAGGATCGACAGGTTAATCGCGATGCTATCTGGATTCTCGGTTCCAAATGGTTGCCGGAGAACTTGTTTGGTTGCTGTGATTGGAAGCTCGGATGAAGATACCTTTTTCTGTGGAAGTGAAGATTTTAAAATCCTAGGTTTTGATGCAAAATTTAGGCTGAATAAGGGATATGTAGCTGGGATATTAACAGTGGATACTGTGGCCGACTTTCTTCCAAGAAAAGGACCACTTCGGCAGAGAAGGTAAGTTTGATTTTTAATCCCCTTTTCGTGAAATCATGTTTTAAAAGTAAACCTTTTGTAAGACTTAAGCTTGACAGTACAACTTCACTTTCATGAACCCTGTGTATGTGAAGTAGATGAATGTAGTGCGAAATTATTGATGTTAGTTACCTAGAACAATTGGATGGTTAATTTCTTTCAGATAATTTATTTTGGACCTTATCCATCATATGCATGTACTTGGTGTTTTTTTCATCGTCTTCAAATTAAAACTTGGCTGCTCAAACTTAGCCTTAGTTGTAATTAATGTGCTGACTATCATTACTTCTGATTGTGCTTTTGGTCATCCAATCACCACAAAAACAAAGTAAGATAGCCATAAGTCAAGCATTGAGAAATATATCACACCCAATAGAAAGGCCACCAGATGGTTAGTCAGGATAAATGTTGTCTGATAGATGGGATTACTTTGACAATCAGAACCTTTAAGTCCCACATCCATGAGAATATGTTTGTTTTACATGTGGGCCTCCTATGTATCTGTAATTCTGCTCTAATTTTGAGGATTGCTATATATAACTATCATCATCATGGTCGTTCCTTCTGCTACCATTATCATTCCCCTGTTACCAAGTAGTGACACGAGATCTGATCATCACTTCCAAAAGTAACTTGTCACTTTTGGTCATTTGTCACCCCCAAAACCCAACCACAGCCAACAATCATTCAACACCTTTGGCAAGTAGTTTTATTTCTGAACAGTAGGGAATTGAAACGAAGCTCAAAACACACTGCAAAGGGCAGACACAGCAATCTCAAAAAGAATTGCTGAAAAACTCACCTATTCTACTAAAGGAGATAAACACCACGTCAAACACACACTCTCTCCCCCGCTATTTTTTTTTATCTTTCTGTGCGTTGCACAGAATGAATGTCAACTGTTTTATTGTTCATCTAGTTGCTAAATCACATCCATATTTACTTGTAGAAGATGATCTTCTCTCTAATATGAACCTACCATCACAGGACAGGAATCGCATACATATCGAATGTTGCAGTTCGGGAAAGGTTTCGACGAAAGGGAATAGCCAAAAAGCTCATAGCAAAAGCAGAGGCTCAAGCACAAAGCTGGGGATGTCGTGCCATTGCATTGCACTGCGACCTTAGTAACCCTGGGGCCGTAAAATTGTACAAAGGCCAGGGTTTCAAGTCTATCAGAGTGCCAGAAGGAGCAAAGTGGCCTCAACCCAAGACCTCACCTGATACCCTCTTCAACTTCATGATGAAGCTCCTTCATACACCAACCAATTCTTAAATGCTTTAGGGACACCAATTATCGATATACAGATGGCCGTCAAAAGAAAGGTAGAATGTTTGGGACAAGTAAATATATAACCTGGGGGGATAAAGTGGCGAATTCGCAACACTTAGTTGTAGCTGTGATGTTAAATTTGTGCAAATGAATTTTATGTTGTATTATAAATGGCATTTGATCAAGGCCAGGTTAAAATGGTTATCTAGTCTGGTTGGGCATGTATAGTATTCACTTGCTTTCCTCTTTCTTCCTCAATCCCTTTAATTTAGTTTATGTTATGGTTATGCAGTTATTAGTGCTTTGTGTAATATGACTTGTGATGGTCGAGTAGTCCAGGTCTAAAATAGTTCAAAGGCATGTTTCTAGTAAGAATGTTGTAATGAACTCGAATAAGGTCAGAAAATATTACAACCAATAAGGTCATATTATGAGTTAACAAGGTCAAAGTTACTGACTAATGAACTTGAAGCATTGCAATTAATACAAAGTTAATTTAATTTAATCATCAGAATTGTAGTAATAATTTGAATTCAGAGATCAGCCATTGTAATTCAACCTAGTTTAAGGACATGTCATCTGAACAATAAGAGTGATCGACTTTTAAAAGGTGTGAAAAATATCAAATTTGAACTCTCTTATTCACAAGAAGACAGACTTTAAAGGTTTATCGACATTGTATTCAACAGTAAAAGCAACTGCACAGATTTGAACTCTCCCAGGGGAAGAAGGCAGAACATAAAATAACAAACATAATTTGAGTGAGCATCACTCTACTCATGCACCAGAGCTAAGCTGCTGGTTCCAGGGCTAGGCCTTTCGAAATTCGATCAAAATACAGGCTTCATGAACCTCGGAATTGGCGGTAATAATCTTAACTTATTACTCATTAATTTGCCCAACTCGTCCATAAATAAATGGATTGGATAATATAATTCATTTTAATTAAGCGGGTTAATATGGATCACAAATGGGTACTCATTGGGTTGAGTATTTATTTTTTTATTAAATAACATAAGTAATAAAATTAAATAAATATACTAATATACCAAAAAATAAACACATTATTACGCTAAAAAATACACATATATACACTAATACATCACCCATGATCCACATGTTGACCCATAACCCACAACCCGTGGGTTGACCCATGTCCCATAGACCAACCCATAGCCTACAATAGACCTCGACCCATTATGTGTATTTTTTTTATTAAATGTGTTTTAGTTTATGTTTTAGTACATATGTGTATTTTTGGTGTATTAGTATGTATATTTTTAGTGTATTAGTTTGTGTGTGTTTTGGTGTATTAGTGTGTGTGTATGTTTGTATTTTGGTGTACTACTAATTTGTGTGTGTGTTTTGGTGTACTAATGTATCTATTAAAAAATTTTATTATTTTATGGGCTAATTGGTTAACCTATCATGTTACAAACTCAACTCATTATAACACATTTATTACGTGAGCGAAAAATGAATTTGATTTATTTTAACTCAATCCAACTCATAACCAACTCAACCCACCTATTTGCCACCTTTACTCGAAATCGTATTTCTATTGCACATTCTTCAACAACCAACAAGGGTGATAATTCTCGAATACAATCCCCCTCTCAATTATGGATTTTGTCAATTTTGGTCAAATCCAATCATCTTTTATTCATATCGTCGGCCATATCCCGTCCCGTAGATTACTCCCCGCACTTTTGCCACCACGAAAAAGCCAATCAATTGGTGGCTTGTTTGAATGAATTTTTGGAGAGAGTTTGGATTAACTTTCTCAAAACCTTCCAAACCCATATCCCCTCTTACAAAGATGAGATTTAATTTTAAATTCAATCCATACTCATATTTAATATGCACACATACACATATATAATTCACGGATACATCACTATTATCATTTTATATTTAACTTATAAATAACTATATTGTCTATTGATTAATCAAATCCAAACTCATGTTTGTTTAACTCAAAAGTACAAATGATATTTACATCACTAATCCAAAAATAGCTCAATCGAAACCCACCCCGCATGGGTTTCATAAAACCCACATTCAAGGGTTTAATGTGTTGGACCAGCTACGGGCCAGTACTACTGTCCATGACTTGAAAAAGCCATCCAAACAAGAGTTTTAGGATCTATTGGACTATTTTCCCCATAATCATCTTACCAACCCCACTATACCCACTTACCAAAAAGCCAAAAGAAGTGCTAGGCAGTTCATACCCGAATCCAGTCCTTTACAACCTCTTCTTGCCAGTACAACCCAGTAAAAACTCTACAGAGCTGATGTAGTACCAGTCATTGCCAAAATATTAATAATCACCAAAATTTGATTTGCCAAATTAAACTTTCAAAACTAGATATATAATCAATCCATTAGTTTGCCATTTCATTAACAAGCTATCCAAAACACAGCTTTTGAAAAGAGGCAGCAACACTTTCAACAGCATGCTCATATAGAAAGCTGTCCATTGTATTGTTATTTCTTTAACCAGACAAGTTAACATCATCGTATTCAAAAGCTGCCATCAGTGAAACAAAGCTTCGAGACCTGAAACTTCCCATTACGTCCAATGGCTGTTGCATACCAACCCTCCTGAAGAGGCGGTTCCTATATTGGACAAATATGCACTCCGGAACTGAAAAGGAATCCAGCCAAGTAAAACTCCAGCTGATCATGGTTAAACAAATTTATCCAATGCAGATGTATCCACAGCTGAGAACTCTTTTACAGCGGCTAGTACTGCAAGTCCAAGTTTCACAGCATCCTCATCGCCTGGTGCCTACATTGTCAATATTTTGAATGAGTTCCGATCGCTTCCAAAAATTATGACAGCTCAAGTGGCAGTTGAGAGAATTTTTTCTACCTCAATGTTAAGGGGAAGAACAGGGTCATGAAGTGAGAGTCTAAGAAGGAACCACCCGCCATAGCCAGAGACCCTAACCTGTTTAACGATTTTTGCTTGTAAGAGATAGAATATAATGATCAAATGAAAACAACTAATATGAATGACATTATTATACAAACAAGCACAAGTACATATACCGCTACATTAAAAAAAGGGGATAATTACCTTTTACCCCCTTGTGGTCTTCATCAAAAACAGCAATCCTCTTTGACTTCTCAAATTATGCACTGAACCCTATGCTTGTGTACCAAAGTGAAAAACCAGATGCCATTAAAGGAACCAAGAAAATGACAATTTTATCCCCATTCTTCTACCTCCTCATATTCTGGCTTCTCTTTTTCTCCTTTCCCTTCTCACTCTCCTGTGGACCTAAATTGTCGTATTCCATTAACTTGTAAACTATCTGTCTTGAAAAACTCTTCACTTGAGTATTTGTATTACTTTGCTTCTCTCATTCTCTTGATGTATATATTTATACACAATGTACATAGTAGGCAGTGAGTTTGAAGGGGATGGATGCTTTGGGACCGTCTTTGAACACGTGGAAATTGAGTCTGCTAATACGTTCCCTATCAAGACCTATGTATCTGAAAAATATCTACACGCTTCCACTAATTCTCACAAAAGCCAAAGGTTATAGTTTTTGTGTTTTACAAAAAAATTTTGCTGAAATTTGTGGTTCACCTGAACAACCCAATCCTTCAGTAGTTGCAACATAAATTGAGATTTGTAGTTGCATCAATTTAAGATTCAAGTTTTTTCTGTGAATGAGTTCCCCACTGCTGGCAGCGACCCCAATTTCACCATCAAGGTGCTTTGTTGTGGTCTTGCTGGAGAAGGTCGTGGATCTACATGAGCCAATGTGAGTGACACTTTGACCGGGGGAGTAAGAAGAAGCCTTTAAGGGGTATTTTGGGCATCAAACATAAGTTTTTTTGGAGGGAAACAAAGCATACTCTCGGTCAATTTGGAAGGTAAAAGTAATGGTTTCACTTTGGTATACAAGCATAGGGGGGTTATGTGCATAATTTGAAAAAGTCAAGGAGGTAAGGTGTTTTTGGCCAAAACCACAGGGGGTAGAAGATAATTACCCCTTAAAAAAGATAGGATCAGTATTAGATGAAAACAAGAAAACATACAACAATTTTCAAAGATGGCCCATGCAATCACAGCATACAACAAAGATTCAAAAAAATCAACAAATGCATAGGTAGCAGGTCACATACCAGATTGCTGGAGGTGAAGTGTAATTAATGATTTTGTTAAAGTTAATCCAAAACCACGGGATTGGAAATCCGTCGTTTACATTTTTGCCAATAATTTAAAACTTTCTAAGTATACTTCCAATGTACTATTACACTTTATACCATGACTCTTCATATATAGATTATAACATCATATAAAGGCCAATCAAAGGCACAGTAAGGATGTGTTTGTTAATCCAAATTCAGTACTTTCAAATGAATGTATTCAGCATTTATTAATTAAGCTCGTTTGATAACAAAAATTTGAATATTTTAATATATTACGTACTCCTTAAAATACGCTAAAATATTAAGTAGGAGATCCCTAATTTAATTATGAAAGTGCTCAGTTAAAGGATCTTTAATATCTACAATATGACAATTCTACCCCACAATATTTCATAATTCTATTAAAATTCTAATTAATTTTCTGTCCAAAACCCCTAATCTATCTATCCTCCTCACCACCGTTCTTTTTTCCGTCGTCTTCTTAAGGGATCACACACATACATGTAAGTTACTTCTACCCTTTTATTCTTCATCGCACACGTACACACATAATTACATACATAATTGTACACACACACAATACATAAAGCACACACATACACACTTTGCCCATGTGTGTACACACTCTACACACACACACACACAAATCACATGCACACCCACCCACCCACTGCACATGTATACAGACACACGCAGCAGCACACATACACATTCTACATACACTCTACACACACACACTTAGCACATATTGTGTTATTCAATTTATTATTATTCTATTTGTCTTTGGTATTGGTTAACAATTTATTTGTTCAATTGTTTCTTTGTATTGGACTAATAATTTATTAATTCAATTTATTTATTTTTGTTGAAGGTTAATTGCCTTGTTTTCTTCAATATTTGTAATTTATGCTATAATGACTACAATAAGAATTANTTATTATTCTATTTGTCTTTGGTATTGGTTAACAATTTATTTGTTCAATTATTTCTTTGTATTGGACTAATAATTTATTAATTCAATTTATTTATTTTTGTTGAAGGTTATTTGCCTTGTTTTCTTCAATATTTGTAATTTATGCTATAATGACTACAATAAGAATTATAAGATAATAGTG